TGGGGCTGTGTGGCATTCCCCGTATGTCATTGATGCGTGGAGGCGCCAGCTCCCGCTCCAGCACCACTGCCCGCACCAGCACCAGCACCCTTGAGGCCGGCGGAGAGTAGCGAACACTTTGACCATTTCATTTGCTTCTCGAGCGCCGATAGGTCCGATAACTGTTTCATTATCTGCGGATTGCGACTGAGATCGTAGCCAACAGTAGACGTAGTGGTGGACGCCGTATTTGCGCGTATGACGCCGGATCCAATCTTGACGGCAGCATTGTTGTTGTTGTAGATGTACATGTTGTCCAAGTTAAAACCAACCGCACCATTAAGTCCATTAGGCACCGTACCCGCTGTGCTTATTACAGATGTCGTTTTACTCTTCGGGTTGCTTTTCGACCTGGCCTTGGTGTGGCCTGTGCTTATATGCTTGACCACCGCAGGATAGACGCCTACAATTTCCACGCCATCAGACTCGCTGCTGCTCTCACAACGCACTACAGCAGGTGGTACTGGTGGCGGCGGTTGTGCTGTCGACACCTGAACTGGCTGCCACTTAGTGGCCGCCAGCTGCTGCGATGTCTGCAATATGTCGCTGGGACTCTTATACTCGTCTAGATTGATGACATGTGGCACAGGACGTGCTGCGACGACGCTCGTTGTGGAATGTAATGCACTAGGTGACTGACTGTTAATGGGTGCACTGACGCTGACCGACGCAGGGTTCAGCGACGCGGGCGTTATAATGTTATAGATGCCGTGCTCCGTCGTTTTGGTGGGCGAAGCTAGCTCCAGCATACTGGCTGCTGCGGCTACAACTGCTGCATTAAGCGCCGCTGCCTGCTGCGAAGTGCTGGGCTGCGACATCAGCGTGTCCAGCTGCGTCATTGGCTGTGGTGATGGTTGCTGTTTCTTCTTCTTGGGCGGCTTGCTGCACTGTTTTGAATGTAATGTGGAACCACCCATTGTTGGTTTCTCTAGCTTGCGCTTCAGACTGGTCGATGAGGCACTTTTAACGGAATCTGTATCGGAATTGGCACGCGAGCGACTCTGCGAGGCAGTTACAGTGAGCTCATCGAACTGCTTCAGGTAGTTGTTGACAGCTGGCAGCGACATCGTTTCAATGGCAACTGGTGCCATCTGCGACGCGTTGTTGATTTGTGACATCTGTGCCAATGTGGCAGCCAGCTGTTTTTGGAACTTGATTTTTGGCGGCTTAGCGCTCGGCTGTTGCTGTGTCGTGGTCGTGGCAGCAGCAATGCTCGGTGGCAGTTCAAGTTTACGTTTGACACTATTGGATGAGGCACTTGTAGCTGAATCTGTATCGGAGTTAGCCCGCGACCGACTCTGTTCAGTAGCCGTTAGTTCATCGAGCTGCTTCAGGTAATTGTTGGCAGTTGGTGCTGTGGTTGACGTAGCCGTTGTCTGTTTTTTTGCTTTCTCTTTGAGCTTCTTACTGGCGTGCTTGTGGCGTTCAATCTCGCGCTGCAGCTCCTCATAACGCATCCAGCCTGTGGCCCACACATCCACTATTTTGTCTTTCAGGTAGCCATTGATGAACTGCTCTAGCGAATCCTTTCGCTTGCCCAGCACCGCGTAAGATGTCCAACGCGCCTGGTAAACCTCGTACAGTCGCTCGCGCAGCTCATTTGTCCACTGGAACTTTTTGCGCGGCATCTTTGGCGGATGCTCGGCGTTGACATCAGCCGCACTAAAAGTAAAATCAAAATGAAAGATTTAACCAGGTGTTGGTATTACATTTATATCTTACGCTAGCTCCGCGAACTTATGCAGTTCGATCTCGTAGTTGGCAATAGCCTTGGGCATCACCTCGGCGACTGCCTTGCGTAGACGTTCCAACGCGATTGTCGTCTTATTCTTTTCCTCCCTGGCGCGCAGCGCCTTAGCCTTGCGCAGTATAAAATACTTGGGCAGTTGTAGCTGGTATTCCAGATGCGCGAACACCATGTTACGTTCATTGCGCTCCGTGCAAAGAAGCGCTTCGTAAACTCTAGCAATAGGTAAATATATTAAATTAAATAAAATAAATTTGTCTTTTGGTTAAACTCACTTCAGTAGAAGCGCCGTCAGTTTGCCATCAAAGAAGAATCTTTTGCCGCACAAGTCTCTGCTTCTGACCAGTTCCTTGAAGCAATTGATACTCGCAAGCATATCATTATCGAGAGATGCTGGTAGAATGGTATCTGCGGATCGTAGATCTAGAACAAATATAAAGTAAACATGTGAGCAGGGGCAAAAAGGAAGTTCTTAACCGTTCGCTTACTATCGCTGCTATCCTTGGTCTTGGGCAGCTTCTCGGATCTTCCTTGCTCGCTGGCTGAATCGGTGTCATCATTGTCGCTGCTAGAATCTGCTGCCGTTGATGTGGTGCACTTGACTTCACCGTTGACAGTAATTTTCGAGGGGCCTTCGAGCTGGCCCTGAGATTTAAGGAAGCTGTCCCTTTTGGCCTTTAGCATATCCTTAACGGTTGTCGTCTTGACCACTTTTTTGAGCGCCTGAGTTTGACGCTCCTCCGTATCCGAGATGTCTATGGCATTGGGACGCGGCGAGTTTGAGGAGGAGGACGGTGCCACGTTCAACTTGCTGCTTGGTTTCTTTACATTATTGTTGACCTTCTGTTTAATGGCGGAACTGGGTTTGGGACGCTTCAATGCGGTTTGTTTGAACTTATTTTTGGTATTGGCAGATGTGCCGCTGGTCTCATCGTCCAGACTTTCGGTGTCGCTGTCGGAGCCGTCAATGCTCTCGCTATCGCTATCGGAATCGTCATCCTCATCGTCATCATCCTCATCATCATCGTCATCACCATCATCCTCGTCCTCATCATCATCATCATCATCATCATCCTCATTATTATTATTGTTAACTTTATTATTCGCGACTTCTTTCTGTTCATTATCACTGGCAGAATCAGACGATGACTCAGAGGAATCATCCGAACTGCTGGACACAACACGTTTGCGCGATCGTTCCGGCATTTTGATAATGGCATCGGTGCGTCGTGTACTCGATTTTTTGTTAAGGTTCTTGAACTCCAATGCGCCGCAGTTAATATAAAATCCACCCTCCAGAGTCTCCACCTCTTCAGGCAAGATTTCATCGTACTGAAATGAAATACCATTAATATAGTGTAACTGGGCAGAAAAAAATAAAAACTTACGGCCTCTGTATTGTCTATGAAGGAATCGGACTCATCGTAGCCCATTCCGATGTCACAAAAATCATCCTTTTTACGGCGTCCACGTCCTCTGGCATATGCATTGCCATATTTGGCCTCCAATTCTTTTGCGATGCGCGCCACATCATCATCATTATCGGCAAACGGATCAGTGCTGCCATTGTTTGTTTTTCCTTTCAGCATTTTTGCCTTTTTCTACAGGGGATTCGAAGAGTTAGAAAACAAAAACACCTAAAAGAATGGCAGAGTTTACCTTCTCCAAGTAGAGCAGCTTTGAATAGTTAAACTCTGGATACCTATTGGAGTCCGTCTCGAACAGTTCCAGCTGCAATCGCACACTTTTATTTGCAGATTTGCTGCTCTTGTTGGGCTGCACTGCATCCGGGTCCAAGAAATCACCGAAACGCGAAAACGTCGGCGGCATAGAACTGAAGCCCGCTTCATTGCTATTAAAAATGCTCCTTTGAGTGCTGATTGTGGTAAGGGATATGCGCTTGTGCTCGCCCAGCTTCGACATTGCCGCCGCCGCCGCCCCCCAATCGTGAGGCTGAATTCAGAACACAATGCGACAAAAAAAAAATAATAATCGAAAAACGCGTTACGAAAATTCAGACGCGAAACGTTTTAGTTGCCTTCCCGCCCTTTTGCTAAACGGCACGCCGCGTGTTTTGTATACCAAACAAAAACAATGGCAGCAGCAGAGCGACAGCAGCAGCAGCAGCAGCAACAACAATAACAGTAACGGCAACGACGACGGCGACGTCGGGCCCCACCTCCTGCTGGGTGTCAGCGATGTCTGCTTCTGCTTCTGTTTCTGCCCGTGCACGTACACCACCAGCGCGACAAATACTGTGCCAGCTCTTGGCCTGTTTTCACTATTTTGTTTAGTAATTTAGAAATGTGTGCAGAATCTGTTATAAACAAAAACAAATGCGATGATTCGGCGTTTAAATTGGCTGCGTGCGCTCTATATCGTGCGCTTAAAAACTATCCACTGTAGCTGCACTTGCAGTCCCGACGAAATAAATTGTCACTTTTTGTGCAATTGAAAATAAATTTGTAGTTTTGGCGTCCAGCCGGCGCAAACAACACAAAGACTTTGGCCAAGCACACATATGATCAAGGACACTTATAGCTATGGCCAACGCGAGTCTTTAATTGAATTGAAGCATACGTTTTTTAAAATCCTGAACTGTTTCTAAATTTGTTTTTCTTTTTTATCAAATCTTATGCCGTCTTCAACGCTAAACATTTTCACTGCACTCATGCCGCCGACCCCGCAATTAATAAATTCTATCACTTACCAGCACTGGCCGCAGATTTGCAATATGACTGTCTCTCTCTAGTTGGGCTCTGTTCACACTTGGCGCCCGAAACTGTTGCGCAGCAATATTTAATGCAAATATTTTGATTGGAATGTGAGTGCTCACTTATTATCAAGCATATTATTATTAGCATGCTTTAAAAAACCTGTAAGCTAAATTACTACCAACTTATAAAATACATACCTCTCGTTCCCTTTAGCACGAAGCAAGAGGTAACTACGTAAACTGCAAATCTTGAAAATTAATGAATATAATGTAATACATTTCAGTACTGTTATTACTATATAAACCACTCGAGGAATAAATTCCTTAGAGTAGATTTTCGGTTTATTGTTAATAATAGTTGGCTTTGTACTAAGAGTCTGTAATAAGAATGGCAAATTGTTGCCTATTGGAATTATTTTAATGAAAATCACTTGTTTATACGATACTATCGCAGCAATACTACTAATGTAAGTCAGTGTGCATAACATTTTTGTTTTGTTTTGACTGTTGTTAGCCAACACTGCTCGAAACAGCTGAACGCAAGTGGGGAGCTGCTTTGTTGAGTCTCTCTCAGTGTTATTGCGTGCATTGAGGCTGAATGCTTCGCGAAACGCCAAGTGAGTGTCATAAATACTAATTTAATTGAAGTGTTTTTTTGGAGCATATTTGTGTGTGTGTGTGTGTGTCAACTCTAGAAATAAAGTTGCATGCATAGCAATTCAAGCCGAAATGCATGCAGTTATTAACAAAATTGTTAAACCGTGCACCTTATCAGAAAATGGTGTGCAATAAAACGGTGAATGTGTGCCATATTGGCTGCAGTTCGGGAGCCTTGTGATTAAGGCGTGTGCCTCTGTGAGTGTGGTGTATATTTATGTTGCCTTTATGCTTGCAGTTCCAGCAACACCTCCCCTCCTGTACTTTCCCGTTATTGACGCCAAGTGACCGCCGCCGTTCAAAGAGCAACGTACGCGACTCCAACAAAGGCAACCACTTTAGTCGTCTACTGACTTTCGCCTGAGACGCAAGCGGAACGCGATTCCTGCATTCGCAAACAAAGCGATTTCCAGGCCATCCACCCACCAACCTGGATATTGGACAAACGGCTATGTGGAAACAATAAAGAATCGCCTTGTTCACTGTTTCAATTGTTTTCGTTGAACGGGAGGAGAAACTTTGCACACAGGTAGACACACAAAGGCCCCGACCAGGGTGAGTAATGTATATACATGTGCTCTATTAGTAATTAATGTGGCTCGTTGTACGCGTATTTGCCATTTGGTAAAACAAATAGACACAAATGTCGCACAGACAACAACATTGGTCGATAAGCAAAGCAGCAGCAGCAGCAGCAGTAGTTGCAGTCTTATCTATTTCCTATTTGTGAAAAATTCAAATACATGGTATTTTTTTGCTGCGCTGATAAACAAGATAAAAATATCAAAATTGTAAGACTCGGTTTGTGCCCACACATCCTCCTTCACCTTCTTCTGTTTGGTGCCTCTGGTGGAGCTATCCATTTAAAAGGTTTGCTGGTGCAATAGTTCATGTAGATATTGAAAAGTTGGAAATCGTAAATTGACAACTTTTTCTAAGATTTCTTGAGATGTCAGAATGTTGAGCTAAGTTGATTAAGATATTGGCTTCTTCCCGTCTGGCAATCATCATAAGCTAGAGACTCGAGATTTTAATGAGAGGAAACAAAACTGTGTATGTAAGGGAACGCGCAAGACAGCTGTCCGTTAGAAGAGCTTTCACTGTACTTGAAACCGAGTTGCGGTAAATGACCTTGAATGTGTCGCCGTGCCATCGCCTTGTCAGCCAAATATGTTTTACAAATTTCAGTTTCAATGGAAAGCGAATTATTTCAATGAAAATAACAGTGCACACCTCGCACAGGCGCCCGTTTAGGCCCCAACAGGTTTTGTTTTTATTTTGGGCAACAGTGGCAAGGCAGGCAACTGAAAAAAACAAAAACCAACAACAGAAAAACGTGCGACAAGCAACAAGTTGCGCATAAATGTGTGTGCACACATAATTAAATGTATTTAATACGCTTTTAATGCGTCATTATTGCCAATTTACGCAATGCTTTGTTGTAGCCGGCAGCGATTGTGGCTCACGTTCATTATCAAAGAGCATCAGCATCACAAGTCAATATACACACGTATACACATGCATGCATAACAAATGTAAAAGAAAAACACAAGTAGATATACACACAAATACGTACGAACGTGGAGGAGGCAAGCGAATTCTATGTGCGCCGAAACGCGCATACGCTTACCGATAAATGCCACAAGTGAGTTCTGTGCTCAAGCTTAATTTAACAAATACATTTAGTAGTAGTTCTTTTGCAGTTAGGAAATATATCTAGACCAAGAAGGGAAGGTTTATACAAGCGACCCTAGTGTATCTTAAACAGTTTTTATTATGCTTTTTTATGGCTAGCGTAGGCTTATGCGGCTCTGTCCTATCTATTTAGAATGTACTTAAGTAGTTTTGCTACATAATCATAACTGGGAAGTTAAGAACTATATAAATCACAAGACTCTATGCTCATGAATGGCAATGATATGCATAAAGAGTAAATTTAATATTTTTATTTTTATTTTATTTCTCATTATTTTTAGAGTATAATTAGCTTTTAGATTAGAAAAATGTATGATTCTGCGGTCCATTTAATATGAAGCAGTAAGGTGTTTAGAAACGTTATAATTAGACTCTAAATATATTCATCATATATATTAATAAGAGTTCTTCTCAGAAGTTTGTTGCTTTATTTATTGTCACTGCTCTTAAACAGAAATCGACTGCAGGGCAAGTTGGGCAAGGCGTGATATCATGCATATAGCCTTTATTATAGAGCATTCAAAGTGCAGACAATGTGCGATTGTCCATGGGGCAGTGTGTGCGTGTGTGTGTAGTCTGTCTGCTATCTACTGTGCTTTCAATTCGAAGCAATGACGAATTTTCTGAAATAACTTACATTGAACTATGCTTATATACGTACTATATATATAGTATATGGCGCAGTCGATAGAAGGAAAAAACATGAGATATAATCTATAGAAATGAACATTATTGATGATGCTGAGTTGTGTTCGGTTCGTTCTGTACTTTGCGTTTCGTCTCTAGTCTAATGACAGTTTTTCAATTCTATATTTGACTCCAGAGCGAGTGAGAGATGCCTGAGAACGTGGAGCTGGTAAACAAATATGGCGAGCCGTTGCGCTATGATCGAAATTTTCAGGGTCCCCGACAGCGTGATCGCAGCTGCACGGATGTGCCCTGCTTAATACTATTTGTGCTCTTTCTTTGCGGCTGGGCGTTCATAGCCCACTATGCCATACGCATGGGGGATCTCAATAAGCTGATGGCGCCCACGGACATGTATAATCAAAAGTGCGGCATTGATTCGAGCGTGCTCGATAAAGAGTATTTGTTCTTCTTCAATCTGGACCAATGTATTGATCCGCTGGTGCCCATAACTGGCTGTAAAACGCCGCAAGTAAGTATCCGGATGCGGCATTGCCAGCTTGATGACTCATTACAGCTCGTCCCTTTTTGCAGGTTTGCGTCAAAAGTTGTCCCACGCAGACGTTCGTTTGGGATAAGATGAAGAACAATAACTTTGAGGATCTGAAAAGTCGCCTGATTTGCAAAACGGATGAGGACAAGGCAGCCATTAGCTCCAAGTCGGACATTGAGCGTGCTATTCAGGATAATCGTTGTGCGCGCTATTATATCAAAAGTCAGCCCTTTCTCAAACGCTGCATGTTTGAGTTCTCGGATCAGGTATGCGAATTTCTGCCCAGCGTGCTGTTGCGCACGCGCCGCGACTCAAAATGGTTGCTTCCCGGCAATGCTAGTCAGGTGGAGGAGCTGCAATTGCAGGCAATGGCACTGACCATGCAAACTGGGTTGCAAGCGCAGGCACGTATGGCGCCACAAACCGTAAGCAAACAGGCGCCAGTGGAGGACCAGGTTGGACAATGTCGCCGCCAGCAGCTAAACGGCGCAGTTATTAGGGAGAAAATGATGCAAACGGATACACGACTAGCCAAGATGGTGGGCAATCTGGTGGCACACTTTTATAATGGCACCCACGATGCGCAGCGGCTGGGCGAGGAAATAGTCGAGGATTTGGTCAATTCCATGACAGTGGTACTTATGGCGCTACTCTTCACGCTGATTGCTTCGCTGGTCTTCATTTCACTGATGCGTTGGCTTGCCGCACCCATACTCTGGTTCTCGATCATTGGCGTGCTCGTCGGTCTGCTGTTGGCCATATACTACAGCTTCAAACAGTACAGCTTCTGGAACAAGACACCGACGGTGCCGTTGCACGATTTGAATCTGCATAAGCAATGGCAGAATCTGCTACAGGATCCAAAGATGTGGCTCTATTTGTCCATTTCGGTGTGCGTCTGCTTTGTTGTCATATTTCTGCTGGTCATTGTGCTGCGCAAGCGCATCCGGATAGCCATTGCACTTACCAAGGAGGGCAGCAAGGCTGTCAGCAGCGTCATCAGCACCGTTTTCTTTCCAATCTTCTCGTGGGTGCTATACATTGGTGCCATTGGCTTTGCCATTGGGGTTGGCCTCTATCTGGGCTCCATTGGCCCATTATCGTTCCGCATGGTGCAGCGCCTAAATGATGCGGGCGAGGTTACCAACGAGCCGTGCGTTTGTGGGGGACCCGCTATTAACTACACCGTGGGCGCTGCATGTGATCCAAAGGTATTTCAACAGAATTGTCACATCAACCAAAGGCGCGATTCCTGCATTCAGACCACATGCAGCTTTGTGGAGATTGATAATCCCCCGCTAGTGCGCTGGGCCATGGGCTATAATGTGTTTGGATTTCTTTGGCTGAGCTTCTTTATATCCGCCTTTAGCGACATGGTGCTGGCGGCCACCTTTGCCAGATGGTATTGGACCTTTAAGAAGCGGGATGTACCCTATTTTACGCTGACGCATGCCTTTTGTCAAACAGCTCTTTATCATCTGGGCACCCTGGCCTTTGGCTCACTGATACTGGCCATTTGCCGGCTAATACGTCTGGTGCTGGAGTATATTGATGCCAAGCTAAAGAAGTATGATAACACGGTCACGCGCGCTATTCTGTGCTGCATGCGCTGCTTCTTTTGGCTGCTGGAAACCTTCTTAAGGTTCCTCAATAAAAATGCTTATATTATGTGCGCCATACATGGCAAGAATTTCTGCTCCAGTGCCAAGGATGCGTTTAATCTGCTTATGCGAAATTTTCTGCGCGTCGTAACATTGGACAAAGTCACCGATTTCCTATTCTTTCTCTCCAAGCTGCTGCTCACCGCTGGTGCAGGCGTGTCCACGTACTATTTTCTGGATAATAATCCGTCCGTTATACAGCTTAACCACAAGGCTGTGCCCACAACAGTGGTTGTAATTGGTTCTTTTCTGATTACCAGCGTATTCTTTGGTGTCTACTCAATGGCCGTGGACACGCTCTTCCTTTGTTTCTTGGAGGACTGTGAGCGCAATGATGGCACACCGGAGAAGCCGTATTTCATGTCCAAGCAGCTTATGAAAATTTTGGGAAAGAAGAATAAGCTGCCGCAGCGCCAGCGTCGCAGCAAATAGGAATCCATAGGCAAAGTCGGCTGGTCGCAAAACCAAAGCAATATCCCTTGATACATGTAAATGACAGTGCAAATTGTAGCCTAGACGAAGTATGTTGAAGATGCTTGCTTGGAAAGACATATCCATTATATATATATATAAATTATATTTATATATACATTATATTTATCATACGTTAACATAAGCCACAGGTTGTGCGCGAATATTGCTCATGCGAAATTTATTTAGATGGCAACAATTTGGGCCGGCTGCAATAGGTATTTACATGCAATGTAAAATTAACCAACTTAATGCTCCAATTTTGCCAATATATATAGTATTTTAATTGAAATTATTTTTTGTATACATATAATGTATGCAGTACTGTGCATCTATATATGTATAATGCAATTTGAAATCTATAATATGTATATATTTATGCACATATCAATATTTGTGGTTCAGCGAGTTTATTATAACGGGTGCTCAACTATTGATGTGATAAGGCGCTGAATCCTAAATAACTTAATTCTAAACACAGAACCAAAAGATATGCGTGTACTTAATATACATCTGTACACGTTAATATGAATGTTTACACATGAAATATATATCTCATACTACAATTATGTAAATATAGCAATTTTATAATACAATAGTGGAACACTACTCAAATCTCAGAGATTGTAGGTTTTCTCACGATCATTTGGAAAAGAACTGAAGTTGAGTTACACTGAATATGTTGAGAAAACTAACTATAAGGTATTTATATATATATATATATTTTTTTTTTTTCGATTAATATTCATGCACATTTTAAATTTATTATGGTTTGATTTCGTTGGTTAACAAAAATATATTTGAATTTAATTAAATTGAGTTCAACTTCAAACACATCCATTCGCACATAAATTGCCAAGCAAATGTCTTACTTTAAACATATGTAAATTGTTTCAATAGAAATTAAATGAAACAGCGCAACAATAAGGAATTTTTTCTACATGCATTATGTGAGTATTTAACCAGTAGCTAAGTTTTAAGATTTTCAAAAAAAATAAACCATATAAGAATGAAAACTAAAAGGAAATATTTTTGAGCACACTATCGCTTATGTTCTGCAAATCATCCTTTTCCCCATGATCGCTAATGTCGAGACTAAATTTGGGCGGTGGCTGGTTCATATGATTCGCATCGTTTTCCTTGCTGCTGCACTGCAGCTGCTGAAATTCCTGAAAGAGATGAAGCTTATCAGTGAGCGTCACAATTTTATATTGTTTACTCACGACAAGTGTTTGATCATTTAGATGCAAGCGTGGGAGGTCTTGTTCCGACAACGGACCGGGTACCAGTGCATCCAACCGTCCAGATGGTGAAGTGCTCAGATTCTGTACGTTTAGTGAAGCATCCAACACTTTCATCATGGCAGCACTCTTCTTGGCATACAACGAGCTGTTGCTTGTATCAGCCGCTTGTGGATGCTGCACTCGCTCAATGCGGGTGCGTTCGTTGCAATTATGCGGCGTAAACGGTAAGTAGCTACTAGAGGCAGTGTTCTTGGGGGAGGTAGGCATGGCGAGTGTCGCGTCATCAAAGTCAAACGTGGCCTGAATCTGCTTCCATTTGCTGCCCAATGAGGAAAGATTTCCCATTGTGTTTGACTTATCTGACTTCTTATTAATCGTGCGCAGTAGCTGCATGGGATCAACTATTCTCGACCTATTCATGGTGCTGTTTAGCTCTGAGGAAGGCTCCAGCTTAATCTTTCGCGCTGAACGTGGCGCTGCAGGTACTGCAAATGTACAGCTATTAGTCAAGCATAAGGGGTATTAGGACTTTCCACTTACCCAGCAGACTGTTGCACGTCGTCTCAAACTGCTTGGCATTGAAGTCATCTTGCAGCGGCAAGCGAAGGTGCACATTGCGCACGCCGCTGGCCAATTCCGGTCTAATGGGCGGCGTGGAGACGAACTTCATCAGCAGCGGATGACCAGCGGCGCCAGCTTCAGTACGTGCATCCAGCGTGCGTAGTGGCGTGCTCGGCACCGCAAGCTGCGAACACATTTGCGACGCATTGCCACTTATATTGCTGCCGTGCTCCTTGGCGCGTGCATTTAAATTCCTTTGCACAGCGCTCACTTGTAGATCGATCTGCTGTAGCTCGGCACGCAAATTCTCCAAATCTGTTGTAACAAACTCGTTGCACTCGTTGTAGTGATCATTGGCATCTAACTGTTCGGCGATTGTCTCGCTAATGCTATTAAAAGCGGACAGCAGTGCGCCGTTGCCTTAAATATTAATATATGTATATATGTATATGCTACAAATGAACCAACTGGAAGTTATCTTGGGCGGAAACGCTCATGACTGCACGAAAGCTTTATTTATACACATATTTACATATTTAAGTCCTATCTGGCACTGTCTCCGCTCAAGTTAACTTATATACCTAGTTAACATATATCACGCTTACCTGTTGCATAGTCTACATCCGTGCCGAAGAGCTTTTGGATACCGCGTAATGCATTCTCCGCAGCTTCTTTGTTTTGCTTGTAGTGGGCCCGTTTGCCTTGAAACTGATCCATTACATCTTTAAGCGCACACAGTGGGGCCTCTAACATTGCAATTTTCGCGGCGGGCAGAGTTATTTTCTGCTCGCATTTGCGGCGATTAGATGCGTCAAAGTCTTCCAGAAATGCATCGTCCAGCAGCAGCGCCTCATTGACGTCGGTTTCGGCTGCAATTGCTGAAAATATTTGCCTTATTTTCTGGGTGAAGTCACGGTACTGGCTTGCATTTTCCTCCAGCTCCTCAATATATGCTGACGTATATTCCTTTCTGAAAACGTTTGCTGCTGACATTCTTTGCACGCTCCAATTCCGGTATTTTAATATATCCGTATCTGCTGATAATGCTTTCTCCCGTTGCCTGGTCAGTTCCTGCACGACAAAACTGACCAGGTCTAAAAGAAAGTTAATGAATTTCATTCCGCCCGGCATTACAACCAGGTAGGATTTAATGTTGGTCCAATTAAGGTTATGTTTCGCGTTCAAATGCTTCAAATAATCAACGGTGCTGGTTCGAAAGGTCGCCTCTGATTTCTTGTCCGTAAGAGGCCAAAAGAATCGGCGCTTGAACTCTGCGGGATCCAGTATACGAAAGAGGTAGTGCATCACTTGAAAAAAAGCGGGCTGGTTGGGCTTAAGAAAAATGTCGACCGAAAGCAACTTCTGCATTTCGTCGTTCATTGGATACAACAAGGAAAGGCCTTTCAGTTTTTTATACAATTTCTCACTATGCTCCTTCTCCTCTGCTCTCCAGGGCGCCATCATTGTTCGGTCCATTTTCTTTGTCTGATTCTACACTTTTAAACTATTGCATACGCGCGGAAATGTTTTAAACTATTTTTCTTAACATTCAGTACGACGACAGTTGTGCCGCTCTCTATTCAAGATGACGACAATTCGAGTACAAGTGCAATTGAAAGTATCGATAAGTACTAGAAACATTCAAAATTAATTATCCCCCACAAAGCTTATATATAAAAGGAACCAATTTTTTAAAATGTATTCTTCATTAAAAAGAATAATAATTGAAAATTTATTAGCAAATACAAATAATTAATATATGAATAAATTTTCATAACACGTGTGTGGTCACACTGTCAGTAATTCCAGATTGTATCGATGTTTTGTAATATGTATTATCGATTAAATAAAAAATTTGTATTTTTGTTAATAACTTGTTTGCTCGAAATTATAATTCAAAAGTATAAGAATATCATTTCAGATAAGTCGTATGTTGTGTAGAACATCTAACACAGAAAACACGATAGCTTTTGCCATACCGATAGAATCAACACTATTTGTACAGCTGCTATCGATAGTATCGACATTATTTTTGCAGCTCTACTGGCAGAATCTACGGAGAAAAAGTAAAAACGTATAAAAACCATTAAGTGCACATTAATCGCGCAAGTGACTTGTGGAAAGCATTCCACTATTTCAACATGGACGAAGGCATAGCGTTGAAACAAGGAACAGACAAACGCATGGGCACAACGTTGGATGACGGTCCGCCCGGCGTGGATGGCAACGATGCGAGTGAAAAAAACGAGGCGGCAGCAGCCGCAGCGCCAGCGTCCCGCAAAACCAAGTCGACCTCCCGTCGACGCTCAACATCCCGACGTCGGTCAAGTTCGCGTCACGCTACATCGCCGCCACCCATTCGTCGTAGGCGCTCGCATACGCGATCACCGACGCCGCCGCCAGCTTCTCGTCGGGGACGCTACGATTCACCGGACTATGGCCGATATCCGGCACGACGTCGCTTTGACCGCCGACGCTCACCAGATCGTGATCGCGATCGTCGCCGCTCGCCACCGCGTCGTGGTCGACGTGACCGGTACGGCAGATCCCGGTCGCGCTCGCGCAGTGCCTCACTACCAAGGCGAGGGAGCGGTCGTGGGGTTAGTCCAACGTCTCGATGGTCGCCTAAGAAGAAGCCATCTTCGCCTCCGCTGCCAGCACAGGCAGTCCAACAGTTGCCGCATCCTGTCCAAGCCGCTGCTTACGGTGTCATGCCGGCGGCAATGTACGGCCAAGCAGCTTACGGCGCACCGGATGTGTACGGACATCAGTACAACATGGGGCCATCGAATGCCTTCCCGCCGGCGGGACCTCCACCTGGATATGCCATGCAGGGTCCACCACCCACACAGACTGCCGGCTTCAATTCAGGCTACGGCGCCTGGGGCGTAAATGGTGAGCTAGATCATTTGAAGTGTATAGTAAAGTGTGCTTAATAAAGTAAATGTTTTCTAGAATATGGACAGCAAGTTTGGCTGCCGCAGCCGCTGGCCAATGTAACTGCAGCGACACCTGAGCCTCTAGCAGTCCAGCAGGTTGCGCTGGCGGCGCCAGGAGCACATCAGCAGCAGCCACCGCCTGTAATTATTGAGGAGCAACCAACTCCGGCGCTTGAGAGCGCAGGTTTGCCAGCACAGGACGGTAAGTGTGGAAATGAACTTTGCCTTTGCTACTTACGACAATTCACATGCAAACCTCTCACATTATATTTTATTGTTGTCATGATTTACGCGCCCCCTAACAACAACAAAAAACAAAAACAAAACCAAAAACTTGTATGTAATTGTAATTTGTTAACTGTAATTTATAATATGCGCTTGCAAACGCACAAAAGTATTTAAAAAATGCATTGTAAAAGACATTCAGAATCTAGCTATAAAATCGCAGCGAGAGCTTAAACTGACACGGACTTGGGCTCTGGCGACACTTGATATATTGAATTCCATT